AGAGGAGTTATAATGATAGGTGTACACATTGCCTCTATCACTAGATTAAAATCCGTTTTCTTGATCTTTATACATAACTAAGGACTCTCAAACCAAGATCAAGGTGCAGAGAAACATCTTGATGATACCTTTTGTTAATGTGGTAATGAACTTGCTTGCTTAATGTCATAGAAAAAGTCATATAAGCCTCCAGACAAAACCTTTTACCTGAACCTGTATACTTTCCAATGATAATGCTTTTCAAAGATTGAAACTTAAATTAAAATATGAAAAGAAGAGGTGGGTAGATAGGGATTCTTGGTAGCTGTTCATCTGCTAATTGGGATGATTTTAAAAATCCTTATTAAAACTACTAATGCATTTTGAAGCAAGTAAGGCTTTTGTCCTTTTTTTCTAATTTTGAATTTTTGTCTTTATCTGCACAACTACTTATCTGCTAATTTGAGAGCTACTCTAGCTTGTGCCATTCATCACAAGAACATCTCAGAGGGTCTTGGAAATGTTTCAAGTTTTAACAATCAGAGACTTAACCTGTTTTTTCTCATATAAGTTACCTGCCTAGACACACTAGGAAGACAAACACTGAATAACAGAAGTTGAATAATAATAGTAATGAAGAATTTTGCATGAGAAATAAAACCTAGTAAAATCAGGTCTTTTGTTGTAGATTGCTGAGATACTTTACCAGTGTAAGGAAAAGAGTGTTGACATTTGTCAGACTATCCTCCATAAATTAGAATTACTGTACAGGGAAAGTCTTAGCTGCTGTAGCTATCCCTGCAACATTAGCTATTTTATTATGATTTTTTTTTCTTTGAAATACATGGGGCTATTTGAGGATACATTTTTGTGCTTTAAGTTTTGTATTTTCTTACTTGATCTTTATGTTCTAATATCATAATTCTTATTCTTAACCTAATCACATTTTATGACTTGTCAATTGAAAAGAAAAACCAGGGGAAAAACGAAGAGTTTCTTTGATTGTGTCATGTATTGTGTTTGGAGTTTTTTAAAATGAATTTGTTTCAGAATTCTTCATAATGTTAGAAGGTTGACAGCCTAGGAAACTAAAGCATCAGTACATCTTTTCTCAGAGCATTTTGGTAGTGTGCTTTATCTCTGATGTGGAGAAGCCACCTCTGCATGTGAGAGGATGGTTCATTTTCCATAGGTCACTTAGACCTTGTCCTTCTTGCCCGGACTACCCCCAAGATTGCTAATTATAGTAATAGGTTTGTGACGTGGGTACTTCTCCTCTGAAAACTGGTCAAATTCATTTGATACAGGCCATAAATCGGCCATTAGTGGGTATCAAGTTTCAGCTACCATCCCTTTAACCTAAATAGTAGCTGAACAGTGCAGTAGTGTTTTTCTCTTGCACCCTATTTCATTTTTCATGTTCTTCTTGTAGACCAAAAGAGCTCCCAACTGTTTTATATTTCCATTGGGTCTCAGACCCTTTTCTGCTGAAACTCAGTTGCCTATTTTCACTTGTTAGAAACTAAACCTGCATGACTTAAATAAGCCAGTACAAAATAGTGTCAAGTCGGCTTTACACAGCCTTAAACATGTTGGTTTGTTGGTTTGTTTGGGATTTTTACAAAAAAAAAAAGCACTGAAGTTGTGGCTTGGACAGAAATATACAGTAAAGCCCATTTCTCAAATGTACAGTGTAATTTCAGTTCTTAGTACTGTAGCATCTTCCCTCAAAAGAAAGGCATAAAAATAATGTTGCTTCAAAACTTACTTTGCTGGAAGAAAAATGACTTCAGAGAAAAATGTGGCTTAGGTAAACTAATTTAGTATCCTCGTAAAGGAACAAGAGGAAAAGGAACAAGTAGGCTTGCATTTTCTTAATGATGGCACTCAACACGATACTGGCAATTTAGGAGACTTTTTGTGGTGCGGTATTTTTACACCTATTTCTACTTTTTAAAAGGAAATTTCATAAAAACTGAGATTTTCAGATTTCCATTGCTACCACTTTTCTGGATTTCCTGGCAGTGATTTTTTTTTTAATGGAAATGCAATCAACCCTTGCTTCATGATGCCTTCAGTATTTCTTTCAGGTCTGACCACTAAGTCCGAGAGTCACATCCTCAGTAATCCATGAAGAAATTATGGTTCCTCACCCCCTTACTACATATAGATATATGCATTTAGCTACCTTTTTCAGGATTGTTTTGTAATATCAGTGTATTTTTCTGTACTTTGCAGTCAGGAATTGCATTTGGATTACAAAATTACTTTTTTGCTAGTTGATGGTATTTACATAAGTCCTAAGGCTGATTCACTGTTTTTGTTAGCCCTAGAACTCAGAATAGCTGATTTAGAACCAGGCTGATTCTGACATCAGTGTTAATGACAGAATTGTGCTGACTCTGAGCAGAATTGATTCTGATTCCCAGATATGCAGGGATATATCTGCTTTGCAGGTGCAGATGTTTGAAGGCAGCTCCTGCAGATCTGTGGAAGCAGGTAACAGTGTGGATAGGGGAGCCCTGGGTAAGCTGCTGGAATTGTTGTGGAAGTTGCAGCCAGTACTGCATTTCACATCTCTGGCTGTGCCTCCTTTACTAGTCATGCTTGCACTTAGCTAAAGATAGCATGGATAAATACATACAGCCTGTCCTTCATCTCTCCCACCAGTGTGCATTCATCCTGAGTCAGAGCAGGATGAGTCCCACTAGTGTTTATTGTTTTTACAAATTATGTTTAGTTTACATGGTGATTTCCCTGCAGAAATAAAGATTTCCCTGTACTTTTGGAAAATACATGGCAAAGTTCATTTTGAATTGGTAAATTTTTCATTGGCCTTTGCATAATTATGATATCTTCATGAATGCAGCTGTACTGAAGCTAGAGACCAAAAGCAGGCCTTGTAGTAGGTCAGAAAAAGGGAGAAAGATTGGCTTATGGGTGGATGTGGTGCCCTTAATTCCCTCCTTTTAGCAATATGGATGCCAGCCATGTTGCACCACTGCTCATGCTCCTGGAAACTCATCAATTCCATACTTTGCTCAGCACTTTGGTTTATGAGCTTTTACCTCTTGACACAAACTCCTCTGTGCCTACAGCAGGTGTGCACAAAAAATACTGTGTTTCAGGTGCCCAGCAGAAAGCTGACAGTAATGTGAGGAAGGGTGGTTGGGTTTGGTTTTGGTTTTTTTGCAGGAAGAGGGACCTGTGCTTCCTTCCCAACTGCATGTGTGAAGGATAGTAAATATATGGGTTAAAAAGAAAATCATAATTCAAATATCTGTACTGGTACTGATCAGATCTCTGTTTCTGTAGCAATGAGAACCAAAGGTGGCCTTTTAAGGCTCACAGTTCTTCTACCAATTTCCAGTTCTGCTTCAGGCTTCTTAAAGTATTAGAGTGCGTGCTTTAAACCCACAAAACTTACCTTTACCTAATTTTCACCATTCTAACCTAAGTTTCCACGGAAACAGGGTTGAAAAAGCTGCTGGTAGCCAGCAGGCAGCCAGCAGCTGAGAGTGAGAACTCTCCTTTGTCACTTTCCACTACTGGATGCCTGCTGCGTGCCAGTGTGCAAAGCTACCTAGGCTTCTAAAATCTGGATTACTTTCAATTTAAGGGGGAAAAATTAAATTAATCTACTCTTTTCTGTCTTTGGATTGTCACAGTAAATTCCAGGAGGGCAAATGGGCTAATGAGTCCTGATCTGTTCGGTTACATTGAGCCCCACACAATCAAAGCTTTGCCAACCAACTGGGCCTCTCCTTTCATAATTTCCGTGTTTTAAAAGCATTCTGTCTCAAATTTTGTGGCTGTGGACATGTACATGCATATTTTGGTACCTTAATTCTTTGTGGCCCTGGGTCTATTTATCTACATAATTACGAGCCTTTTTTGCATACAGCATAGTCAATGTACAAAATTCCCTTTTTCTTGTATACTTAGGGAACATTTCTGAATGAACACGTTACAAACTGATCCTCAGTTAAATATTAGGAGTAGGATGTGAATGGAGATGGCTTTTAACCAGAAGTAGATTATAGCTGCGGGAAGACTAAAGGGTCTATTTGGTCAAGACTCATACAAAACTGAGATAAGCATGCACAACCTGACAAGATCAGATTAGACCCTTCCCCCACAAATGCTTTTCCCATAAATATTTATCTACTTTCTATTATAAATAACCAGGAAATGAAAAAGGATAGATTCCCTTTTTTTAAAATAGCCTAGAAATAGAATTGCAGTTTCAAATGTTTGGGATAATGATATTTAAAGTATGCAGTAAATTCCAATACTAGTTGCTATATTTTAGATGGGAGTAAAGTACTGAAATTCCTTGTGGCAGCTACATAAATCGACAGCATTTATAAAGAAAGAAGAACTTTGTGCATATGTGAATTTTTGCCTACCTCTGGGTATCTTAGAATTAAATAGTTTATCACCTGTGAGAAAATAGGTGTGGACAGAGTCAGCACTGCTGTATTTTTGAGCTTGCTGGAGGCAACATTACTGGCATTGAAGTTAAGCTTGGCATTTTTTCACCCCATCTCTCCTCCCTCCGGCCCAAGTGAATGCTCACTTCATCAATGAGAAACAAACTGAATTGCCTGCCAGATGTAGCAGAGATCCATGAAATCAAATCTGTTCTGCAGATTTGTGCTTCATTCAGGTTGTCGATATTTTGACTTCACTTCTACATGTAGTAATATTAAGGGGTAAAAAACTGAAGCTGTGCATGTGCCACTAATTCAGAAATGCATATTTGTTGGTGATCCACTCATCAGAATCTGAGTGGATTGCCTTTCTGCTATAATGAAAAATAGCTCTTTAGTTGAGATATATATCCTTAAAAATGTACAGAATAAGATTTTTGCATTCATCTTTGAAAGTAACAAGTTTGCACTTTTTTAAACACTTCTGTTTCATATAAGAATAATATTAATACTTTAAAAATCTCAAGATGAAAAATGTAAGTCCTTTTTTCTTTTTTTTTTTTTTTTTGAATCTTTTTTTTCCTCTAGCATTTTACGATGGGATAATGAGACAGATGTCTCTCAACTGGAAGGACATTTTGACATTGTTATGTGTGCTGACTGGTAAGTACATAAAAATCATAAAACTCACGTTAGAAAAATAGCTTTGGTGGAGTAATTGTACTGTGCTTCTTGCTGATGGCTAAGCAAAGTCAACAAATGAAGCACAAAGCCACCTTAACCTCAACAAATTAATATTCATCTCCATGTGACAGTTATAAGGTAGTCTTCTATCACACAGTAACTTCTACCACATTATTTCCCAAAGATTGATTTTGAGAAGCATTTCCATTTTCTGGAATTGCCTCTGTTTCATGCTTGACGTATCAGTAAATGGACGACTTAGGCAAATTGCAAATAATTATGGCTCAGTGAGGAACAGTCTGGAGAAAAGGGAGTTTATCAACACAAACAGCTCAATTAGCTTACTTCTTAGGAAAGATCTGACTATTGATATAAGGGGATATATTTTTTGCTCCCTGGAAAATCTTTCCAAGGAAAAAGAGATTTTCAAACCATTTTTTCCACCCCCACCACATTATGTTCCTTAAATCTATTTCACATCAATATCTGGAGGTATAGGCTTTATATTATTTACACAGGCACATGTTAATTATAAGATAATTTATGGTAAGAAAAATAAGAGTACAGCATTTAATTTATGAAAAGGTAGATACATGTAGCAATATGGTATCTTGTTTAATAATTTATGCAAATAGATTTGATTATTGACACAACCCTTTTCTGATACTGCATTTGTGGGATTGTGCTGTGCTGTATTTGCTGCATGCTAGCTTTAAAAAGGGTACATTATTAATTATTTGTGTTATATAAATGTAGACAGTGTGAAAAAAAATAAAGCTGTGCAAATTTTATTTAGGAGAATAGATATTTTTAAACCAATATGTTTTTCCTTCATGGATATTTGCTCTTGACCCATTACATATCCAAACAAAAAAAAAAAAAAGCTGTCTATGTTTTGTGGCTCGTAACTATTGTGAGAGATGAAATTCTGAAAGCAGAGACTTCCCAGAACTGCTCAGTTCAGCAAATTTATGTACCTTACCTAGAAATAGTTAAAGGAAAAGGCAAGGGAAGTACGAAGCTGTCTATTGTTTTTTTAAACAATGTTCTTTTTAAATGTCTTCTTCTATTCCTCCAAAGCTTTTGTTTTTCTTTCACATTATGCTATTAAAGCAAACTCTTCTTATTTCACCAAGTTATTGGTTTTGTATAGCTCTGGAGAAAATGTGTTTAGTGATCTTTTGCCTTTTTCTAACACCTATTTGTTCTCAGAATGCAACAGTGCTTTGTTTCCCTTAGCATTTAATTTCAGAAAAGTTCTTTGTTCCCAAAAAGGACAGAGGAGGGTTTCTAACTAATCGCTGATAATGTGCCTCAGAAATGCATCATCTGATTAAAATAAGGAGCTAAACAACACCATATGATTTCAGCAAGTAATTTAGTAAATGCCTTCCTCACCAAATATTAGAATGGATACTCCAGGTTTCATTGCACAGATGAAGTTAATGCTGGACAGGATTAGATCAGATTAAGTATGAAAGTCAGATCAGAGTACTGGCGGACATGAGCAGGAGGGCAGCAGTCTTCTCGGAGGCTTAGACAAGGCTCACATATGGATGTTCTCCAGATTATGTGGGTGAAGCAAGGTCTTGCCAAGAGATTTAGAGTTAAATTTGTTCTTCACACAAATATCAAAACAACCTGGCTGTGCTGCCTCTTGTATTCTTGATACTCACACCATGTCATCCTATTTGTGCTGGGAGTACAACAGAGTGGAGCGAGACTTAAGTTGTTTTTCTCAGTAATATTCTGGCCTAATACCCTTTGCAGTCTGTTTGGAAATAGTGTAGTTTCTTTAGGAAACAAAGAATCAGACATGACAGGTAAAATACATAATGCATTTGCAATCCTTGCATTTTGTACATTTATTTTGAAGCACTTAAGATGCAGGTAAGTGTATAACTATTTATAGATTTCTAAAAAATAAATAGAAATGTGCAGGTTAGTTTAAGGAATTTGGGTTTATTCACAAATTATTTCTGTTTTCTTATTTTAAGTGCTCACAGATATATGAGCATAGCATAGAGCTTAATAAACATGAAAATCCCTTTATTGTTTGTTTCTTTTAGAAATAATTCTTTTAGTTATGGACACTAGGTTTTATGGTATATGAAAAGGCTGAGGAAAGAAATGTTCCATGCTTTATCAAACTCAAATCTTCTTTTCATTTTCATGTATTTCTCTTCAGCGTTATATAATCGGTTTGAGAACTGTTGGCAGGATTTTTGCTCTCTGAATTTTTTGGGCTGCCACTGAAGAGGAAAAAAAAATCTCTTTTCTTCTAGCTTCTCAGCTGAAACCTGAAGTATGCAGTGATAAAAAACAGATAGAATAGATTGCATTTAGTTTAACACCATCATATAGCTCATTGTCAGTCAATAAAATCCAAGATTAGAACAGAGAACTAGAAAGCAAAAAATCTGAGTTCAAATATTAGGTACATGGATAAATTTTTATTGAAGTATTTCCAGCGAGGGTGATATTGTCTGATTCTCTGAATAGCTAACCAGTGGTACTGCTTGATCCCATTTACATGAAAACAAGCTCTATTCATAAACATATTCCAAATCCACATGGAGATTCAAGTAAAAATGTACATGATTACAGCAAGCAGCGATATGTTTATATTCATATATTTACAGTCAGACTTTCATAAACCTTGTGTGCAGGAGTGGAAAATAAGTTATTTCCCAGAACAAACAGTCTATTAGTTAACAGTTAAATTTAGTAGCTCAACTAGATTATGAAATAAATAAGAGGCAAACTATGAAAGCTAGTCATTATTTAACCATTCAGGATGTTGACAATAAAATAGTTTCGTGGTTCAGCAGTTCCGAAATAATTTTTAAAATGTCAACTATTAGATAAAAATAAGTAAAAAAATCAATATGAGACTACGCTTGGAAAAAGGATACAGTAAAAAATCATACTGAAATAATGGAACCTTTAAAACTTATTCACCCATTTCATATTTTTCAGGGGGCCAGGAATGTAGACCTGAACTTAAAGTATTCTTTAAATTCAGGGGGCATTTTAAGGCCAAATGAGGGCTCTCAGAATTTTTGATTTTCATCTGACCTACACCTGTGGATATAAAGCCAGGTGCTGGAACTGTGAGTTTGAATAGACAAGGAGAAATCACAGGTGCCTGGATGGACAGGCCATACCCAAGACTCTCCCAAAGTTCTTGAGGGCCCCAGATTTTGTAATTGTTTAAATAGTGTACATACTCTTCTTTATTGAGGACAAAAGTTCTGAGATTTTTAGTCCAAAGAGAGAATAAAGGCCAGTAGGACTGAGACAATAAAAAAACTTTATCATTCACGTTATTGTGAAGCAAGTTTTCACAAATAATTTGATGTAGAGGCAAAATAAGTTTTAGAACCACATATTGTTTTGGAAATGCGTAATATCCTACTTTATTTACTTAGAATGATTCTATTCTTGAAGTTTGGCACATACATAAGTATTCACATAACAGAGGCCAGGGGGAGCTATCCCACATTACTTTCACTGCTGAGATTTTTTGCTGAAGTCACAGGGAGTTGTGGCTTTGCCAGGAATGTAGACCTGAACTTAAAGTATTCTTTAAATACCTTAAAATATGTCAATTTTGTCTCCGTTAGTTTGTTTCACTTATTATAAGGAGATCTTTTTGCAGGAATGCAGTAAGACCTCTGTCTGTCCATTTTAGACCGGATTTCTGGCACACACTTTCAAGTGCATTGGAACCTGATGACACAGAAATAAGAGTCTTTTTAGTTTACGTCACTCATGTAGTTGAAAGCGAACAAAAAAATATGTGGTTTTATACATTAGGCACTACATATGAATAGGGTATAACATATGAATAGGTAATAATATCTGAAGTACACCTGTAAACTCAACTCTTTTACCAATGGCAGAGCATGCAAAAAACCAAAAGTTTCACATCATAGCCTATAAAGCATATGTCTCTTGTGGCGAGGCAGAAGATAAAAGAATATTAGCATGAAGCAAACTAAGAATCTACCTGGTTTTTTTTTTAATTTCTTTCCTTGTGGCTTACTGCTTCTTCTCTGCAGTTTTGGTATAAACTTTCATTTTGGTTTTAATTGCAATTTAAAATTTTAATTAAAGAGTAAGAGAGTAGAGATGTGACCATGTCACCTGCCTGTTCATCCAGATTTCACAGGTTAAGAGCATTGCCTAAACAAAGACCAAATCATCAGCTGTGTTCTCACCTTTCTGTTGCTGTGATTTGAAACTTCCTTGCTGACCCAAGAAAACCTTGCTATTCCTGTCCTGAGCTACATAAACATGAAATATTACCACTAAAGTAATGGCAGGCTTAAGCCAAATTTGAATTGAGGTGTGAGAACTGTATGTGAGTAGTTTAGAGCAATGCATTATTTAATCTTACTGAGCTGTTCAGAGAATCACAGAATTGTTTAGGTTGGAAGGGACCTCTGGAGATCTCCAAGTCTAACCTGCCTGCCAAGGCAGGGTCACCTAGAGCGGGTGAGACAGGAACTCACATGTTGTGAGCTTTGAAGGATGCTCTCAGGGACATTTTCAGTATGCTGTGGTAATATTTAGTCATACAATTCTACTGGTAAGAAAAACTGCGTGACTTAATCCCCTTGCGTGGGCCAAATCCTGTGCTGTTCCTGTCTGAAGCACTGATTACCTAATGACTTCTTCAGGATTTTCCTCATTTAAGGCATCCCCTGACTCAGAGGGAGGATAGATATGTTCCCTGGAGTCATTGCATTGCAGTAGCTTTGCCACCAATCTTCTCTGCTCCTTCCGGTCAGAGTACATGGCACACAGAGCAACAGTTTGGAAACCACAGTATGAGAATCTATTTTTAATTGGAGCAAGTCATGTTCCCAGGAACAGGTCTCTTGGAGGGCAACTGTCTCAGGTTATCTGGCTTTCCTAAGCTAAGATGGCTAAGAGCGTACCTTCTGTGCCACCAAAATATTAATTGGGGTTGGACAGAAAAAATTTAAGTTCTCAGACACTCAGCTTTTGGTAAACAAAGGTCTGTAGTTCTCATTGTAAAGGAACAAGATTGGTAGCAGCAATTGTGCCCCTATCTCATTGGAAAAAAGAAAAAGAGAATGATATTCAGGTCCATGAAAAGGGGATTTTAACACTGCTAAGCTGCCCCAAGATTGTGTTTCCACTAAACTGCAATAATAAAAATATTATAAATGCACTTTTCATTCAGAATGTGCTTCTGTTTACATAGGATCCCAGGAAGTCTTAAATATGTGCATGTTTTCGATGTTTCATGTTGAAAAAAAATTAATTACTTTTCACTATGCTTTTGGGAGAGGAATCATCTATTCCACTTCTTCTGCAGGTGGTTAAGTTCCCAGTGAAATAGTGTCTTACAACATCTATCTGTATAGGGATCAACATGAGGTGAATGTCATTAAAACACCCAAGAGACAACAGAGATAAGAGATGCTTTTTCAACTAATTAAGTTTAGGCACCCATGTTTTCAGTAAAGTTCTTCCGGGAAGATAAATCAAGGCTGAGGGGTTGTCATTGTGCCAATTGCTCAAGTTCAAATTTTCTTGTAAGCCAGGCTATCAGGAAAATTGTTAGCTAATAATTCATATTCTTGAGAAAAAATTCAGATCATAATTCTGTATTAGATGTTCTTCAACATATATAGGTATGTTGAATGTTCTTCAAGATATATAGCTATCCATTCTACTATATTTTCTCAACAGTGTGAGGTTCTGCCAGTTTTTACTAATGAAGTATGGTTACTTGCAAGTTTTGTTTTGTTTGTTCCAGAGTAGCAAAGATTCACCACAGTTCTTGCACGGCTGCTCGCCTCTATGGCATGTGATACAGTATTCTCCTTGGTAGCTGTGGAGTGTCCTTACATTCACACATCTTCTGTTCTTGATGAACATTGGCCTGTGGTTGGCAGACTACTTTTTTCCCTTCAGTGTTTCCATCTATTCTTTATGTTCTTTTAGAATTTCAAAACTGGAAAAAAAATTTACCCACATCTCTTCAGAAAAGAAGTTTGAGAATAAAAGGAAGGGGAATATATTAAAAAACCCATAGAGAATGGACAAAATGCCATGTAGTATGAAACTTGAACTTGACACAAGCTGGGAAGCAGTTTTATTACAGAGAATATGTGGGGGGAAGGAAAAAAAAAGAAGAAAAAAAATCACATTATCTGTGGCCTGCTTGATAGAGTTTCTTATCTGAATCACCAATATAAATGCAGCCCACGGTAGTAAGGACTGAAAGGCATCAGTTGCTATCAGATGGTTGTTCACTAACCATTGTAAATGCACTCATCCACAGTAACTACATGTCCACAAATATCTAGTCAAGAGTGATTGGCACCCTGGCTGCCACTATTAGTATATACATTAAGGTACTGAGGGGCATGAAGAATGAATTATCCCCTCAAATCATGAGGTAATCACACCAAAATAGGGCTGAGCGTGTTGGCAACATTGCATGGGAAAATTGACTCTGCTGCTATCCTTGCGGGACCCATGCTGGAGATGAAGGATTGCACTCTTGAGAGATGACAACTCTGCACAATGTGGGCCATTGTATTTCAACAGCATTGGAGAGACGGAGGAGGTAGGGTCTTGTAAATCTTTATAAGGATAGCTAGAGATAGATATATAAATATAGCAAATATGTATAATAGGTAAGAATTAATGCCAAATCTGTGAAGGCAGAAGGGAAAAAAATACCCTTAACAGTAACACCTGAAATACAGTAGAAAACATTTTCAAAAACTCCATCCCCCTTGTATGTACATGAAAAATGCTAGCTTTTTAGGTTGATCCTCATTTCTGATACAGTATTACTTTAATAGCTAGTATGTCTGATTGGTGAATTTCAGCTATATAAAGACTTATTTCATGCTGATAATTTAGGTTTTGTTTAGACTGTATTTCCTTTTATGTCTTTTTAAATGTTAAAAGTACCTGAACTGCATAGAAATGTAGACTACAGTTTCTCTTTTACAGCATTGTGTAAACATATGTAATTAGCCTTGTACTTATCTGCATTAGTATCATTAGAATTGAAAACCCATTTTAATCTGGATTCTGTTCTCTTCTCAATGTCAGCCTGTTTCTGGACCAGTACAGAGCTAGCCTTGTTGATGCAATAAAGAGATTACTCCAGCCCAGTGTAAGTATGTTTCTATTTTCTCCTGAACACTGGCTTCAGAATAATTAGTCTGTGCACAATGATTGAGAGAGTAATGGAATGGCAGGATTAATGTCATGTAATACTTTAATACTTATTATGTCCAACTTCAATTGAGTCTTCTAATCTATCAGATTCTTTCCTAATCATAAACTAGGAAACTTCTTATACTTGGCCTTCTGATAAGGAACACAGTGGGTAGTAAAATAAATGAAACCGCTTCAAAGATAGCGTCAGATTATTTTTATCAAAGTGTTTCTCAAGTATTTTCCTTTGATAATAATGTCTTCATATTAAAGTAAAATACGATATTGAAAGTTTTTATGTTGGCTTCTGTCATTTTTAATCCCTTCAATTGTAACCTTTGTCATTGTGTATTTATTTGTTATGAAAGAATATTTTTTCCTTTTCATTTATGGTTATATAAAATGAGTAAATTGCTTACATGTATACTGTGGCTTAAAACATTTTTCTATTAAGTAAGCCCTGTGTTTACATGTTTTATACCTTAGAAAATAATGAAATTATGTTCTTCATAAAATGATTACACGTTCTACATGAGTGTCACTCAAGAGATATTTTATCAATTTAAATCTATTGGGCTGTTTAACTCAGAGAGACTTGCAGGCAAGAAAAACTCTGTTACATGCATATATAAAAAATACATATATTCTCAAATATTTAAAAAAGGGAAGATATCCAAAGAAGAAAAGAATAAAACATTAAGTAATTGATCTAAGTAGGATTTTGAAACAGAAATTTTATCATTCATATTTAACATCCAAATCTTCCAATAAGGTAAACTTCCAATTTGAAAACAAAACACTTCATGCTAGCAGTGAATTTCCAAACTTTATTTAAAATTTGTAGTACTTTTGTACTTTTTGTACAAGAGATTTGCTCTGTAAAAGGAACAGAAGACCCAAACGTGCAAAGGCTTAAGAACCCGAGTCATTTTAGTTGTGTAAGTAATCCCATTCTTTGCTTAGAGTGATCAGGTTTCTATTCTTGGTTCTATCATAGACTTTCCTGAGTGACCTAAGGCAAGTTACTTAAGACTGAATTATTTTAATGAGCTGTGGGGCAAGGCTGCCAGGAAGATAGGAAAAATGTAGCCACCCTGAGGAAAAGGTTACCCAGATATATCTGTCAGTGGCAGTAAGAAGAGGTTAAGCAGCTCCTGCTCAGAGCTCTGTTCTGACTTTCATGAAGTACCAGCAGTTTTCAAGCTGCAATAATTTTTGGGACCACAGGTCATCTGGGACACAAAGTAGATCCCAGTTTAAAGCAATACCAAAAAAGTTTTTTTCAGCCCAGATCAATGTCAGCAACTGGTTCTTCAGGTATTCCCATGTGCCACTCTACTGGCTCCATGAAAGGACAATGGGGAAGAAGAGCAAGAGTGGGAGGAAGAGAAGAAGTGTGTAAGAGGTGCCCTGGTAACTGTGGAATTGTTAGGCTGACTTTAAGCCAAACCTGGCCTGACTCTTAACTCCAATCAGCTAATTCAAATTCAAAGAATATGTCTTTATATTTCAGAGCATATGAGCTACACTCCTTTGTGAATGTAGATGGAGTAAAGGGAGAAGGCTTTTTCTTGCCTGTCTTCCTAATTATGTTTGCTTCTGCACATTGTGATCTGTAGCATAGTCAGTATCAATAACCTAGGACTTACTTGCTGTGCATTAGGCACAGCAAATGGTTCCTACTTCTTATCAGCAAAGCTAACTTAAGAAATTCATGCTCCATGCAGGAATTTCTGTTGCAGAGTTTTGGACCCCTATCCAAAGTTTATTTTTTAACTTGAATTTAGTTAAATTGTTGCCTAATCTACTTTATGAATGGCTGTATGGATGGATATCCATGGCATGGCCTTGCAAATTGTTGTGATTTTTAACTAAGAGGACAGCAGACTATTGTATGGGATGGGAGATGGGAGTACAGACACCTGAAATGAGCTCTTTTGTCCAAAAAGGACGTGTTCAGCAGAGATGCCTTTGAGCATATGTCTTCATGGTTTGAAAGACACAAATAAAAACGTATGCTCATTCGAGATCCCAAAAGATGCAGTCACAAGTATGAAATAGTTACCAATTTCACTGCTCTTGTTAACCTGTATAAATCTAAGGATAATGTCAGAGGGCACTTTACTAAATGGCACTGTACTTAGCCTTTTAAAGGACAAATGAATCAACAGTGAACTTATTTTCTAGTTGCAATAATTAAGAATAGTTTGTGGGCATTAGTTTATGCCCAAGCTAAGGCATAAACTTCTTTTATTAAGTTCACTCTTCTATAATAATTATTTTGTCTCAAATTTAGAACTTTCCATTTTGGAAATACTTTGACAAATTGATAAAATTCACATACATAAATGCAAGTCATTTTTCAAATATAACTAGGATACAACTAGTTTAGAAGAGCCTAGGGAAAATAATAACCAACACTAGCAACAGAAAAAGTTGCTAGTGAACAGAGAATAACAGATATCCTTGCAAAGCTCTCTTGAAGGAGAGATTCAGAACACATAGTCTATTCTTACTGTTAATTAAAAATTAAAAATTTATCTGTGGTATTTCCTTTTTCAATAAGGATGATATTTCTGACTATTGGAATCCTTATGGCACAGAATGATGTGTTCTGGGTAACCTTTGGTTTGCTTTGAAACCAGACTCTGATCATTTCAATCATCTGGTTCCTCATACTGTCCCCATGGACAGTTGTGTTGGTGCAGGAAGAAGTTCACAGAGAGAAATGAGCAGCTCACAGATTTACTGAGGGCTGAATTTTCTATCTGAGTTTGTTACAGAGGCAAATGGCACCTTTAAACCCATTCAAAGGGTTAGGCACAGAAATATTACATTGAACAAATTTCTCTTGAATGGCTGTATCTTATTTCTCTCAACTTATTAGACTTGATTTGCCAGCATTAGGAGGTTTTTATATAATTAAAATTTACTTTTGATTTCAATCTTAGAATAAGCATTTGGTTTTTTGCATATTTCCCTAATTAAGAACAATTTTTTATCAAGGTTTTGATTCTTCTGTGGCCTATCGTTCAAAATGCCAATGAAGTCAATGGGATGCTATTGAGCTGAGATTAGTACCAGCAAACAAGACCACATTTAGTAATAACTGATGAGTAAATTCATATCCAAAATATGAATGACTGTCCTATTGTCTTACTGTAGCATTTTAGTGACACTTCAAACTGTTAGAACTGGCATTTTCCTCTGTGTTTTTTTTTTTTTTTCACAAGTTTAGTGGAAGTGTTTTTCCATCTGAGGAAAAGCCATTTTGTATTTTAAACATCATCCTTTAAATATCATCCTAGGAGACACTTTTGAATTAGAATTAAACTTTGAATAGTCCATCAAGAGTAGAATCAGGAGACTGATTCTGTATTATATCCTGTATTTATCAAGACACTGATTACTGTACTTCTCTTTCAAATTTAATTGAAAGTAGTCTTCAGAGAATATGAGAAGGAATGGCTGCATGGACTGCTGACTCCAGAGGGGCCAAAGGGATGCTGTTGTGTGAGCACCTCATCAGAGCTGCTGGATCAGTGGCCAGTGTATGGTCTCCAGCAGTCTCTGTTCATGAAGTTCAGTCACATCTAAAGCTCCAATGTGGGTCATATGGTCAGTAAGCCCTGGATAAGGGACATTTTTCCCATTACACTGATCATGAAAATAAGGGTATCCAGAGGAGTCTTGGCCTTCTTATGCCATGAAGGGTTTCTGCAGAACAACATTCTGGGGAGTGTGAGATGGCAGCAGGAGGAGCAGGATCCTCAGCTGAAGGCTCCCTTTGCTGCCCACTTCTGTCGGATGACATTAAAGCATGCCAAGGATGTGAGGGAACCAGTTGTGAATTTCCTGTGTTTAATGTTTTCCATCCTGAGCTGAGCCTATATTCAGACCTAGCATTTACATAAGCAATTCCAGTGCCTTCGGTGGGAGTTACACCCCTTTGCACCTCTTATTTTGCCACAGAATTAAAGCTACAGCTTCACAAATGAACAGAAGTTGAGTTGGTTTGGATATTGCCCTAAGACTCCTTTGTGCTTTAATTTCCCACGAGAAAGATGAGGGTAACAGCATTTCCCTATCTCACCGAGCTGTTGTGAGAATAAATATAGTGTTGTGGTGTTAACGGTTGGAATCTTTTAAGTGCACATTAGCACCATAGGTACTGACATAGCATTTTTATTGCTGCCTCACTGTGCATTGTCTCGGTGTACGTGTGCATGTGTGAGACACAGATTTGTTCCCTATTCTCCTCACTAAGTGTCTGTGTCAGCATTGTAACTTTCCAGCATTCCTATTGAAATTCTCTGTACTGATCACTCTTTTCCTGTGGCTTGCAGATTGCGTTTTCTCAAGCTAAATGTGCTCCCACAGCGTCTAATCCTTTCGCAAGTTTTTCAGATCCCCAAAAATGTTTTTTGTCTCTTTGCTTGATTAGAGCACCTCACAAATTAATCTTAGCTCTCATTAACATAGAAGTTAAATACAGGAACTTACAGTAAACTTCGTGGCTCTCCTCAGTGTGATATGCTGTTGGCCGATATTAACCTTTGTTTACAGCTCTTCAACCACTTTTCATTCCATGTGACAGGACACAGTATTCAGCCAATTAGAATTAATTCTGCAAATAAGACTTCAAGAGATGCTCTATCAAGTAGGTTAGGTTTTGGGCAAGTACTTTGCACAGAGTGTCTAAAATCAGTTCAAGGTACAGTCATTTTTGTTTTCTTAAATACAGAAGGATGAACAAAAAATTAGGTAATGGACCATAACGTATTGCCTGGGCATCATAAATGGCCTGATCATCTTGCAAAAACAAGAATGAGTATTCAGGAACATTAATTCTTGATTTAAATGCAATTTAGCAATTTAAGGTCAAATTTAGTTGCATTGCTCAGGTAGTTTAAAATACCTTTGAAAAATTAATGATTGGGGCTGATTTGCCTCCCATTTTGCCTTGTTTTATACTGTTGTAATTCCACTGACAGCAAATGGGAGGTACTCTTCTCTGTGTGAGGGAGAAAAAAGAAAATAATTATTTACAGTCTTTGCATGATCATGAGCCAACAAATGGATTTTCCATTGAGTGCATGTTCTATATGCTTTCTCTGTGTTTTATTTTGGTAATCCACAGACACCATTATTATATGAAAAGAAGCAGCTGTATTGCAGTTGGCAGTTTT